ATAAGTTAGGTCTCTCTTTCAAAAAAACAAGAATATGTTGTATGCCGTTGCCTAAACAAAACAAAAAACAAACCCAAGAAAATAAAAATTCAAACGGCAGAAATAAGAGGCCCCTAAATTGTCCTTTTTACAAAATGCCCTTTAGAATGTCAGGTTATTTTCTGCCTGAACATTGTTTTGTTGTCCCAACTCTCTCTCTCTCTCGGGAGAGTTAACTTGAAGAACATAATCACAACAATTGGATTTCACATTGAAAAACACAAAGATTTTGTCGTTATTTAAATGTCACTTCAGTCAGCTTTTGTTTCATCATTATTTTTAATAAAAGAAGCAAGACGACTTTTACCAAATAGAAGTCTATCTTCTTTTTCCATTCCCCAGATAACATCATGTACTGTAGATAAGAACTATTCTCACTCTCATTGCTCAAACTACCTACCAGTTAATAAGTACTACTTAGAGACTCTAGTCATTCACTTATTACAATTGTTTATCAAAGCTACTTGCATATACTAAAAGTGTGACACTTGATGTAGGAGTAGATCTAAGCCCACCTCTAGCAAGGGTTACTTGTTCTGTCACAATATTTGTCTATCTTTAAAACCTATTTTGGAGCCTTATTAGTAACTTTTTAAGATACAGTGGCGTCACAAGGGGGGTGACACCATTGGAGGGGTGACACCAAAATTACATTTTGGTGTCACCCCCCTCTGAAAAGTCGGGCGCTCGGTCATGGACCGAACGCCTGACAGTATCAGGAGAGAGGAGGGGACCCGGCGGCATACCTTATCCTGCCGGGTGACTGTATACCTTATCCCGCCAGGTATCAGAATACTGCCGAGCATGCGCGATGACGTCACGCGCATGCGCAGTGACGTCTCGGCGGGGTGACATTCGGTTACCGCTCCGGGTGTCACCCAGCCTCGGGACGCCCCTGTTAAGATATCTGGTAGTATGTAGAGCATGGTCAATCAGGGAAGCAGGAGATGCCAGAATTAATCATTTTGATGCCTTGATTGATTAATAAAGACTGTACAAGAATGCATATGAATAACACAAACAAAAAAATAGTGCAGGTCTGATTTTCACTGCAAATAAATGTATGTTAATGCATGACATTAAACAATCACCGTATGTTTGTTAGAGCACCGCAATGCAGTGTAAATATCTGAATGGGCCCTAGGTTGTTAAAAAGCCATGCTGATCCCTTTGGACTCATGGGAAAACATAAAGTTCCATTTCATAACTTTACCTTTATAGTCACCTTTTGTCAGCATTACTAGAGCTCGCAGAAGTTAGAAGTTCCTAAACTAACACTTGGTACTTGGTCCTGTGTGTGTGGGGGTGTGGGGGGGAATGGTGGTATACCAACTCTACTAATACCCCAGGAGTTGGGTTGTTTGAAATTTAAAAGGTTTCAGTCGTTCTATTGACTGTGTAGGTATGAGTAAGAGAGTAAGATATGGAACCTTAAGCTGCCTACTTTCTTGCCTTGTGTGCCCAGGTGAAGTATCTAAAGTTTTTCTTTCCAATTGAAAAAGAAGTTAGGAAAACTTCACTTCGGGTTAAAAATCATTATCAGCTAACATGCAAAGAATATAAAAGTGCATTATAATTATAGGTGCACCGAAATGGAAATTTCAAAGCCAAAACGAAACCGAAATACCATATATACTGGAGTATAAGCCGTCCCAAATATAAGCCGAGGTACCTAATTTTACAAAAAAAAAACTGGGAAAAATAAAAAAAATTGTCAGGCCGAAACGAAAATGTTTTTTATTTTAATTTGTTCACATTTTAAAAATAGTTTGTTTGTATTTATTTTTTATAAACTTTTTAATTGTTTTCATTTATTAATTCATTTTTTATTAAATGTTTTATTTTTTACTTTTCTTTTAGGGGCTTTGGGGAAATATTAGGGGTCTAAACAGACCCCTGATATTTCCCTTTTAAAATAGAAAAAGAGATTGAGAACACAGAGTCTTCAATCTCTTTTTCTGTATCCACTGTTATAAATGAACAGGAATCCTCTGAGTGTTCCTGTTCATTCATAACATGAGGACATAGTGTGTTTACTAGAACTACAACTATGAGTGTTTGCATTGGCTCTCCTCTCTGACTCACTGTCACAGGAGGCTGAGCGATCGGTGCAGGGAGGAGAGCTCAGCCTCCTGTGACAGCGCGGGCTGTCTCCACCCACACACCACTCTGCCGGACTGTGATAGGAGGCTGAGCGATGGGGGAGGAGAGATGCCGGCCGCTCACAGCGCTCCCCTCCTGCAGCACTCGGCCGGCTGTCACACTTTCTCTTTTCCCCGCTGGGACACAGAGCAGCACACATCGGGGAGGAAAGAAAGCAGGGATGTGCCGATGTATCAGCAGCAAAATGGCACTTTCGGCATTACGCCAAAAGTGCAATTTTCGGCCAATATGTTTCGGTGGCTGATATATCGGTGCATCCCTAATTATATGTCAAAAGTATTTTTCCCTTCAGGTTTTACAATGTTTTACAGATCTTACAGCAAATATAGTCATCTTTACAAGGAACACGTTTTAAGCTGAGTGCTGTGTAAATTGCTGAAAACTTGCCTGCATTGTCTTTAAACGTTAGGTTATCCAACATTGTACAATATGAGCTTGATAATAGAAAAGTCAGAGGTGCACTGGCAAAAGTGCAGAGAGAGACACGTACAGATGGCTTAACCAGGGAAAAAAACACAAGAGTGATAAAAGCATGAATGTGACACAGCAACTTTATGGAAATAAGCTACTCTCTTACTTCACAGACAATCTACTATAAAAGCAGTGCTGTTTCTTCAGTTCAATTTTCTCAAATGTTCACATAAAGATGTTCTAACAATTTTGCTAGAATGAATAAAAAATTGTAACAGAAGAGCTAAAAATCAGCAACAAGCTTTATCATTTTGATGTTTTATGGCTTTTGTAAAGTTATCCTAATAGATTAACAATAACTCCAATGAAAACAAGTCTCAACCTGAGTGGGAAAACTTAGAACTTCTGTCCAGTTTTATTGCCTTTCTATTCCTGTTACCCTCACAGGACAGAACATTAAACAGAAATCCCATTGTTGTCCCCAAAACAGGTAGTGAGGGGAAATCAGACCCAAAGGTAAAATATAACATTTCCCCTACTGTGAGGAGATATCTTCCTGTCATGTCATTGAGGGCTTGTTCACACCATAAACAGTGCGTTCCGGAGCGTCAGCTGCTGGAACACACTGTAACGCACCCCAACCGTCTTCCTGCATTTAGGGGCGGGAGAGGGTGTGGCAGTGCATTGAAGTCAACGCCACCGCAGGCACACCCCTGCCCCCGCAGTGAGATTGCCCGCACCAGAACGCGTGGCACATCAGTGCCTGCGTTCCGGTCCAGTGCAAACTCATAAAATAGTGCATGCAGCATTTTTTCAGATCGCACTGGATCAGAACGCAGGCACTGATGTGCCTTGCGTTCTGGTGCAGGTGATCGCACTGCGGGCTGCTGTGCTACTGACTTCAATGCACCGTCACGCCCCCTTCCACCCCTGAAAGCAGGAAACCGCCCGGGATGCAATACAGTGCGTTCCAGCAGCTAACCTCTCTGGAACATACTGTTTATGGTGTGATTAAGTCCTAAGACAAAAAGTAAGCAATGAGGAAATAGAAAAATAAAAAAAAATAAACAGTCCCTCATTTTATCTAAGAAAAAGATTTTTTTTATTTTCAGGTTAGCACTGTATGGATGGGGGATGTGGGGGGGCAATGTCCTTTGGAGGGTTGTCAAACATGTTCCCTACCCCCAGCGTTAAAGGAGGCTGGAAAGGTATCTTCTTCCTTCCTCCTCTGAATCCTGCTCCACCTCCCAGCTTCCACCTCTGGCATACTAATAAAGTAGAAAATTTAAGTATGTGGGGACAATAATATAAAGGGGCACTCTAAATGGGACAAACAATGTAAGGGGCACTTTAAAGCAGACAACTAAAATTTAGTTGTCCCCATCAGAGTGCCCTCTTACATTGGTCTTGGTATGAAAATAAAGGTGCACTCTGATGGGCACAATCAATTTAAGGGGATACTCTGATGTGGATAACTAATTATTAGTTGTCCTCATTGGAGTGCCCCCTTACATTAGTTGCCACCTTCAGAGTGCCCTCTTATAATTCATTACGAATGTGGGGAGCAGTCTCATGAGAAGAACCAATGTAAGGGTCACTCTGATAGGGACAACAAATTATTAGTTGCATCTATCGGAGTGCCCCCTACATTAGTTGCCCCCTCTCAGATTTTTTAAATCAATTTATGTATGTATGTGTGTCTACGCACCTTCCCAGTAATGTTTTGGCCCTCCACAACAGTCCTAGTTTCTCATGTGGCCCCTTGAGAAAATGAATTGCCTATCCCTGTTCCAGCCCTCTCTACTCTACCCAAACAAAATATGCCTATAGATACATTTAAAGCTGTTTAAAAATAAGAGTCATGTGTATTGTTATATGAATATTGGTGTAATTTCTGTGTTTCTTCCAGATCTGTGCAATAATCCATTGTAAAATGTTGCTTCTGTGCAGGAGCGTCCTGTAATAAAGATCAGTCACTACTGCTGATACAAGACCAGTCACTCTTATGCAGAGTGACTGGCCTTGTATCAGCCAACCCCCTTGAAATTCTCTGTACAGCCTATGTAGAGCACAATGATGGCACTGCTACTTGTATATGGTAATACCTGGGTTTACAAAGGCATTTGGGGGCACACAAATGGATTTATATCCTTTGTGGCTATTGAAGAATATATTTAATGTTTTTGTGCACAAAGTTTAGCTTTAAATTGACAACAACAACAACAACAACAACCATTTTGGAAATGGCTTAATATTATGAAGTCCATCACACCAGCTATGACAACCCCTTTCATTTCATTAATGATATATCACAGTCAAGCAGCAAGATTGATAAACCCACATGATACATATGAAGTATTAATCTCCAGCAGCAGATGCTGGCTCACCTTATTACAAAGTCATGACTGTCAATCTCCTTGCCACATCCACTGTTAAGGAGGATTCCAGAATTACCCACGACTGCGCACATCCGGAAGCGGCGGCTCTTCATAGGTGATACTTCAGGCAAAAGACTGTGCAGATTCCTTGAAATATTTAGAGTGCGGCGTCTGTCCAGGACATAATGGATTACATCTCCTGGCTTGAAGCTGCTTTTAACTACAGAAACATCTCTCTCTGCATCCAAAAATCGAAGGATGTCTTTTCTGCATGAAATAGAGAATTAAGATCAGTATAATGAAAGATGTATTGTGTGTTACAGTTATTATCTCGAAAACACAAACTCTGATCATTTGCTTTCAGCAACACCCCAACTTCTGATTTCTTCCTGTTTTAGAAGATTAGCTTCAAAGACACCACTATGGCGCATTCTATTACTTCATGAACAAATGTAACCACTAACAAAACCATAAAAAGCATAACATTGTGAGTAAGTTGTGATCAAACCACCAAAGGCCTAAGAGGATAGTTACATAAATAAGCATAACTGCTTATTTAGCAAACCAGCAGATCAACTGTATCCCTGTGATCAATTATGGGTGTTTGTGAAACGGCATCTTACATTGGCGGGCAGTGGTTAAAGTGGAAGTGATCTGAAAATTTACCTTTGCCTTGGATTCCTTTTACAAAACGAACAGTTCACTTCCTGGTATGTGAGGGTGTCTTTATCCAGATTGGGACCTCCATGCAGAGGCACAGTGCAGAACACGGCATGGTAAGTTAATAATAGGGAAACAACTGCTGGCATGAGGCCACTGGTAATACTGGTGACTTGTCCTTTGTCCTCAGTTTTCCTTTAAGTGCTGTCTTATATTGGCAGTCCATGGTAAAGTGCTCCCTTACATTGGGGATAAGTACAGAACACTATATGAGCCTGTTGGATATCTCATTCCCAGTTGGACACCTTTTATTGCTATAACAGCATGTATCCAATAGTGCAATGAGCAATTTAACATGTTAAGATGCAGAATTCACACTAGCCTAGGTCTATGTTTAGGTGAGGATTTAGATTATTGATATTATTATTATTATTATTATTCAGGCTATATATAGCACCAACAGTTTACACAGCACTTTACAAAATCAGAGAACACAGTACAATTACAGTACAATACCATACATAAAGATTATAAGGATCCTGTTCCTGAGTATTTACAATGTACAAAAGGGGCATGTACAGTAATATAGAAGGTAATAACTGTGAGGGATGAGCTGACTGAAGGAGTAGACGTACAGTTTTTAGGAGGAGGTGAAATATGCTTCCCTAAAGATGTGTTTTCAGGGCTCGCCTAAAGGCATGAGGAGTAGGAGATTAAAGATAGTTACATTTAAGGGACAGCTTCAGGTTAAGGCTTACGTTTAAGGGTTTCTTTCACCCTAGGGCTGTATTTTTCCACCTTTTTTCAGTCACAGGACCCATTTAAAAAGATGAAAAGTCTTGAGGCACCCTAGTCTAAAATGTAAAAAATGTAACTGTATAATGTAAAAAATTATGTTTAGTTCCTCCAAAATCTATATCAGACCCTTATTGTAGATAGGGGTCTGGTATGGATTTTAAGGGAGGATCCTCGTGCAAAAAAACCCCAAAAATGATGTGAAGTCCCCCTTTTCAAAAGACCCATATTCCCCATCAGAAGCCCCCCTTTTCCATCCAAGTTCCCACTTTCTCACATCAGAGTCCCTCCTTTAACATTAAAAGCCCTCTTCACATCAAAGTTCTCAGTTCCCCCTTCACTTTAGAGTCTAACCTTATATTATCACCACAATGCACCCGTGGCAGCATTGGCTGCATGGACACATATGTCCTCTTCTGAATGCTGGGTGAGGTCCTAGATGTAGCTTATCCTGGATTAGCATCATGTGTTTCCATGATGATGGTGGGCGGCTTTCCTGCACTATGGAAATGCATTACATGAAATGCATATTTGAAAATTTTGAGGCATCCCTGACACAGCCAAATGGCACTCCAGGGTGCCACTGCACCCTGGTTGAGGACTGGTCTATTATAAAAGGGACTGCTGTAGAAAAGGAGCAGATTCATTATAAACTCTTTTTTTGGGGTATAATAACGTTTTTAAAATGTGAGTCAAAATTTCTTCATACTGACTTCACAAGTGCTCTTTTTTTTTTTTACTTTATGTGGAGTGTACAACGTGTAAACTCCATTCAAGTCCATGTACAGCAGCACTGTGCGGCGACCTGCGGTGACATGATGTTTGCATTTTTCTGCAGCGCAGCACACAGCCCATCCCACCCTCGTTGTGGTGTGAACAGGGCATGTAGAAAACCATTGTTTGGTATGAGTCCTGTGGGTGACCCAGATTAATCCTCTGTGGTAAAGCACAGGTCACCACTATATTTGTGAACGGGCCCTAAATATTTGGCTGTTTAAGGTCACCTTTATTGTGGACAAAACTATTACAAGGCAGCATAGTTCTAAGAATTCAGTATAGCTCTGTCTAAACAATCTAATATTCTCACAGATAGCTCTAATTTCTGTACATCTTTTTCTAGGAAACTGAGTTATGGACTGCAATAAAAAAGACAAAAGGAGAGATAAAAGATAATGAAATGATATATGTGAGCAGCTGTACTGAGAATGATTTGAAGCAAACAAGAGATAGGAACTAATGAAACCATCAAAAAGTAAAAAATGTATTTACATATATCAACAGACCACAATGTATAGTAATTTGTTTCTGAGCAGAATACATCAGAGGTTGATATTCATAGTAGTGGATATGTAAATAATTTATTTTTTTGTTTTACTTTTTCACACTACAACATGGAAAACTGACATGTTAGAAAAAATGCGCCATGAAGAGCAAGATTATTCACATTTCATAATCAAAACGTCTTTATTTTCTTATTTCTAAAAAAATTACACACAGCATATACCATGCAAAAGGAGAAACCAAACAAAGAGGAACCGTATGCTGAGCATTTGGAAAGCTCACATGTTCCTTCTGCTGTATACTTCTGTATAATAAGATCAGCCTTGGTCAAACATATTTTTTACTGAACATTACTTGATGGGTCATAGGTAAGTTTCTAGCAAGCCTGGTGTTGGCCACCTATTGGTGAAACTCTGTACTTTGTCATTATTGAGCGCTGCACAAACTGTTGGCGCTATAAAAATCCTATATAATAATAATAATTATTATTATTGCCTGAATGTCTCACACTGTTCTTAAAAACAATAGTAGTAGTAGTGTGTTGATGGCTTTATGTCTCACACAACCAAAGCTCATTAAGTGCTCAAATATCTGCTTATTTTGTTTATTTTTCATGACAAAAATATCCATTAAGGGAGGGGACACCATTCACCTAGATCAGGCTCTGGAGTCGCATGTGGCTCTTTCATCCCTCAGCTGCGGCTCCCTGTCCAGGGGCGGAACTACCGTCGGGGCCTGAGGCTGTGAGGGGGGCCCACTGAGGTCCGGTCCTGGGCACCACCCCCCAGGGTGGAATATGCGGCAGTGTAAGGTCCCGGGGGCCCCGCACTGCCGATGGGCTTCTCAGTAAGGGGGCGGGTGCTGTGACTCACCTCCTCTCCCGGCCGCGTCCCTAGTAACAGGCGCCGGGAGAGGAGAAGTGTGTGTCACATGCCCTGCCCGCTGCAGTGCACATCTACTGGCTGGGATACTGGCTGTGAGGCTTGGCAGCTGAGTCCGAATGAGGAGCGGGGGGGGGAGGGGAGTGGTATGGGTGTAATTGCACACTTTGTGCTGTTATTTCATTAGAAACGTGGATTATAATTGCGAACATTACACTGTAATTTTGGCTATTATAATCTATTTCTCTGATTAAATGATTAGACAGGGCAGCTGTTCTATCAAAGTTTGTGACTAGCTTGGAATGTGTGACCGGTGACGTGGTCACATATTTCAATGTAATCCCTCCCAGTTTTTTGGCGGTGGAATGTGTGACCGCCAATAGGTCAAGCATCCCAACGCTTTCTCAGCTGTTCCAGGGCAGATCGGCATCGCAAATCGCATGTGCAGGAGAACTGATCTGCCCTGTAACAGCTGTTCGGTCCTGAAATGTCACTTCTATCCGACTTTGTGAGTGGGGTGGAATGTGAGATCGCACTCACAGAGTCGGATAGAAGTGACATTTCAGGACCGAACAGCTGTTCCAGGGCAGATCACTTCTCCTGCGCATACGATTTGCGATGCAGATCCGCCCTAGAACAGCTGAGAAAGCATTGGAATGCTAGACGTATTGGCGGTCACACATTCCACCGCCAAAAAACTGGGCGGGATTACATTGAAATGTGTGACCACATCACCAGTCACACATTGTAACGTGGTCACAAACTTTGATAGAAAACCGCCATCATGGGGGTACGGCCGGTACCCATTTGAGGGGTCTGGGCAGCCTCTTACATGAGTTTCAGCTGTACCAGGGGCGGTATGGCAGAGGTGACAGGGGAGGGGGTGGAGGAGGCTAGGCCCCAGCAGCAGCAGGTAAGAGGAGTTGGGAGGAGGTACAGGGAAAGGGACCCAGGCGACCAGCCCACCAAAGGCACTGCAGAGCCCACCATAGAGAGTCTCAGATGGGCTGTGCAGGATCTATGGTGTGCTCTGCAGGGTCACGCTCAGGTGGGCTCTGCGGGGTCTCAGGTAAGCCCAGAGTCCAGTGCGTTACTAAGCCCAGAATCCAGTGCGTTACTAAGCCCACATATACCTATATACATGCTATACATTACATAAAGGTAAAAAACTATATATGCAGTGTTATCTTCATTTTAGATGTCAAAAGGTTTTTGTGGCTCCTGGTGTTTTCTTTACTGTATGAAACGGGTCCAAATGGTTCTTTGAGTGTTTAAGGTTGCTGGCCCCTGACCTAGATAATAACTGCAGCAGTTAGCCAGAACAGGGAATACAAGTGGACACATCATACCAAATGGAGTCTAAAGTAGTGTTAAACTCCCAAACTTTCTTTTAAATCATGAATCCAGATCAAACAAATATGTATTGCCCAGCAAATCATTTCTTTTTTGCCCAAGTACCCACAGTCATCATTATTCCAAACAGTTGGCTTTAACTCTTTCCCTGAACTTACTGTCCAGTACAAGATCACTAGAGCAACACAGTCTTGGAGAAGGGAGGAGGGAGGATTGGGAAGCAGGGATTGCTGTGTCTTGCCTTGCTGTGTCTGTTTGTTTGTGGATACACACATGGCTTACTTGTAGGTTCCCTTG